GTCCAACGATAATACGATGTGCCATGCTCGGGTTGACAGATACCTTGTCACTTTCACCTATTGAGCCTACGACTATTGCGGGGGGTTATCCAATTCAAACCCCTTCATGGACCCTACTTTTGGAGGGATCATGATTATACCTGCAACTAATCATTACCTGTTGCTGAACAGTGTAGTCCTGAAGTGGCTGTTCCCACTTCTCGACTTTCTTTCCTGGAAATAGTGACTGCCTCCTCTCGGCTTCGGTCATTGGTGGCTTTTCGTCCTCGGACTTCTTGTCAGCTGGGTCGAAATCCCTAAGAAATCATCAGTTTTTATCTGTAGAATATTATTTTGATAATAAATAGGTGTATGTGCTTGTGTGCATGAAACCGAAACAAAAGAAGAGCGTTTTAGGAACAGCAACAGAGGATGAAGAGGGGATTAGCGTGTTGTAGGGAAGAAATAGAGCACGGTAGAAGCATCCTGTGTAAGTGCAGCAAAATTCAGTGCAGCAATATCCATGAAGCGGAGGTATTCGGTTTATATAGCCAGGTGGACAGGTACAGTGAAGGTGCGAGAAGGTCTAATAAACTTACTTGCCAACTTTTGAAGCTCGTTTCTTGGCACTGAATGATATCATTTTAATTTGAAGCGAATATGTGAAATAAAGAGTGGAGCAGCACCAATACCAAGAAGTAAATACAAAAGTGAAAGCGCTAGTGCCTCCGCTTTTGACGGCGAAAAGCGATTCCGCAAGAAGTAGTCGAAAAGGTGCACCAACTGTGCCGCTGTTTAAAGAAACAGCAAAGACTGCCGAGAAATAGACAACCCATCGCTTCGATGAAGCAAAATCACACTGGTGGTGGGGTTTATGAGAAAGAATCTCATCGAAATATGAGAAATATGAGGACATCTATGAGAAATTATGAGAGAATAGCAGAAAAATGTGCGATTCTTCGCACCTGTGCTTGAGCATAGCTCGGAAGTCGAGCCCATTGTCTGATGTGACCAGCAACTTGATGTCAATCGAATCCGTTCCATGGGCATTCGATATGGTGAGCGTATATGGTCCATCGTCCTTTAAACACATTGAGGTCGTTTCTTGTAAAAAGAGAAAGCTACAGTATACAGATAAGTGATTACAGCTGTAAAAATTGAAGCGCTGACAGGTGGCTCTTTAACAAATGGACAAGCCTAGCAATTAATATAGTGCGAGCATTTCTTGCCCAGCGGCTTGGAAGAAAAGCACGTCCTATGAGGAATGACTTCCAAATGCTACGCTCAGACGGCAATAAATCGAAATGTTTTCGAGGAGAGACTAGAGGCGTCTCGAAAGCAAGCTGAGGAGATATTTGTGTAAGTGAAACCTCGAACTGTCGGAATGCAGTTCATAAAAGCTCTGGCTAGGGAAGGCTAATAGGTCGCCCTGGCTGAGATGGATACCACCTAATGAGTGTGTTCAAAGAGTGATCAGACTCCTTTCATGTCTGTTGCGTAACTCTCTGGGAGAAAT